GGGAAAGAAATGTTACTTCTAGTGAATTGTTTGTATCCGTTTCATGTCAACATTTGCAGTTTGTATTTTGAATTGTTAAGTGCTGTTTATACAGTATAATCAATGCTTTCCCAACTTGTTTGGTTGCCCTCCATGACTGAATATTTGTGGAACAAGATGCTTATCATAACTATCTTTAAAATCGATAAGGCAGCATACTTTTACTTCATCTTTTGCCAGACAATAAAGAGTGGGTGGTGTGGGATTCAGAAAACCAACACCAAAAAATGTTTACATGAAAATATAGAAAAGCACAGGAGTACTTCAGAGTGTAAAAGAGACACTGGGGTATTATAACATGCTAATATGTCAAGGAGCTGATCTGTTTACAAAAATAAAAAATAAAAATAAAATAGAAAGGTGCATTACAGTTGAGTCATACAGGGTTCTTGTAACTACAGTGTTTCTAACGTTGCATAACTTCCCTTTCTGAGTCAGCTTTTCAACTGATTTAATATTAACATTTAAAGAAACACATAGGAACTGGTATTTAAAGAATACAGTAGTCAAATCCAGTGACAGAATAGTGGCTACTGGCTAATTAATGTCAATTTTACACTTAAACATCAGAGATGTGAGTTTTATCTCCAGCAATCTGTATGCCTGGCTAGGAGGCAATAGAAATCTGACTAGGATTTAATTTCTACGTAAAATCTGAAAATTAACCTAAGGATTTATCAATGTTGATTTGTTGAGCCAGTAACACCCACCCCTATGATGCAACTACTGAGCTCAGTAGGAATAAGCTTTGTAACATTTCTCTTCCAAAGCACTCTTCTTGGGAGCAGCCAATGCATGGAATGGATTGGGTGCACATGATCACAAATCCTTAGCCTGGAAAGCACAGGGGTAACATAAATTTGAGGTCTAATCTGCTGTAGTAGATTATTCCCTGTCTAGTCTAGTGCATCATAAGACATTCCTGACTGTCCAGAAGTTAGTATTCTGTACCACATGTCATAAGTGCAGCATAAAATATGACCTCAGGAATCTGTTTTTCCTCACTTATACCAAGCACTAGAAAAGTTGCTTTTTTTTTCACTTATGTGAAAAATAAGTCTCCTGTTGCTTGATAAAACTATATGAAATTCTGTGCTCATGGTAATTTCTGGAAAGGATATGGTTACCAAGAACTTAGTTCTAAAATATTGTGTTGTTGGGAATAATGGTATTTTTGGGGAAAGGGAAAAGAGGAGATTATTTACTGTTATGAGTAACCTATGGAAAGTAACTAAAAAAATAAAGCTATTTTAATGGCACTGATTCAAACCCATGTTTGTATTTATGTACACTATAGTCTTTTGCTCTTAACTTTTGCATTTATTTTTATTTAAGTGCAAGGATGCAGTAGCATGTTTTGGTTTTGTAGCTTTCCTGTTCCCTTCAGTACCTACAGTATGTATATTACCATACTAAATTAAATAATAGAACATCTAACAAAGAGCGCTATGTGCAATACTGTATTTAGTGTTTCTATTTCAATTTTTTTAGAATGTTAATTTATATGAAAATAAAAGGAATAATGAAACCAAAGTTATTGTTTTGGTTTGAGTTTTTTTCCTTCCGCTGGTCACTAAGTTCCATTCTGGTACACCACATATGCTGCCCAGGAGCCAAATTCTTTTTAATCTGCTGTCCTCAAAAGATTATCCTATCCTGGAAGAACTGTTGTGATTCATCTGTGGAGATGGATGGACTTCTTGTACTTCAGCAAGCATGAGATTTGAGGGCAGTAATCTACAGTTGTATGGATTACCGATTCTCTTTTACAGCAGGGTAATAGAGGAGCCCCCAGAGCTCTGTTCTGTTTTGTTCTATATAGATTGCATGCCACCACCATATCTCTAAGGTTTCATTGCCTTCCTTCCAGTAGCTCATTGAGGAATGTAATTAGTATCAGTCATATGCTTTTTATTCTTTCTCTTCCATGATATCTATGAAGTGGCTATTTTACCTGGATACATACAGGATTCCATATTACAGTCTAATACAGAGATACTAGGACTTGTTCCCACAAATATAGGTAAAGTAGCAATCTGAAATGGATATTTAGAGGAAAATATTGTGTATGTACCCTACACTGAAATAGCATAGCATACTTTTGAAGTAGCACATCACATACCATCAAAGAATCTCTTTACCATTTTAGTGGTGAATATCACAAGTTATATCCAAGCAATCTATTTCTAAATGAACTGTTTCAAGAGGTGGCAGTGTCTCATAGCATAAAATACAAGCTGCATCCGTAGTTTCTCAAGTTATTCACTCTGCCAAGCCAGATCTTCAGAGCAAAGAGACAGCTTCAGATGTCTTCCCTGCTGGCCTGGACTCCATACCTAATATTGCGGCTGTTTTACTTGGTAGCATGGGGGAAAATGGGTCTATGGGTCTTGCTTGTCTAGATTTTTGTATTGCACCCATTGTCATAGTATTTTTATATTAAGCCACCAGTACATTTACAACAGCGAAATATGGCATTAAAATGACAGATGCAGCAATTTTCTGTGTAATTCCCCACTCTGGCTATTATTATATAAAATAATCTCTCATAATTGCCTGCAGTTTGAACTAATATTACAGTTAATGATGAAAGCAAAAATAAAGAACGATGCTATTTTAGACTTGGGGTTGGTGAGCATTATAGAAAGAGAGGAGCTGGTTATAGTGGCATGATCCAAAACCTAAATTCTTTTTCTTATTTTTTAATGACAATGATAATATAGTTGAATCGTAGGGCTGGAAGGGACCTTGAGGGTCAACTAGCCCAAGCCCATGCAGGAATACAGTTCCTAAATTATCCGTGGCCAATGCTTATCCAGCTGTTTCTTTAAAACTTCCAGTGAAGGAGATTTCACAACCTCTAAATCTGCTTTGTTATATGTTTCCATGTTCTGCCCACAGTGGCAGAGAACAATAGTTCTCCCTTTTCTTCATGGCAGCCTTTCAAACATTCTTAAACTGTAATCAGATCCTCACTTCATCTCATTTTATCCAAGCCCAGCATACTTAGTTTTCAACCTTGCCTTCCAACCTTGCCTCCCTTTATCATTCTTCTCACCTGCCTCTGAACCCTCTCCAGCTTCTTCATATTCTTAAATGTGGATGATGATGACTATGATCACAGGGGGGCAAAGGCTGTATGCATAAAGGAGAACTAGAATATCAAGCTGGAAGAACTGGATCCCTTTTAGTACTGAACTAATAGAAATTGTGAAAAAAATCAGTTGTACAAATTGAAAGGCTGTGCACTTGGAGATAGTAACAAGATTATTTTTCTTTAAAGTAGGAACTTATCAGTGGAAGTGATGAGAAAAAAGACCTGGTTATTCCAGGATGTGCCTTTTTAAAAGTCAAAGACGATACAAGGATGTTGCGGGTAAGGTATTTCCAATACTGAGGGGAATGATTAATAATATTTTCCATAACACCTGTGAGAACATATCTGGAATGCTGTGCAGAATTCCGGTCACCCCCGTTCAAGAAGAATGGCAGTGTAATAGAGGATCAAGAAAACAGACTCTATCATAGGGTAAGCAACTAAAATATCTACTCTGCATTAAGCTTAGAAAAATAATGGCTGACACTAGAGTAATGAGTATCAGAGGATAAATGATAGGTAAGAAAAGGTATTTAAGCTAAAGGACAAATCTGGCATAAGAACAAATGGGTATAAACTAGCTATGAATAAATTTAGACTGGCAAGTAGAAGGTTTCTCTATTTCAGAGCAGCCTTATAGTTGAAATAGTGTTGGCAGGGACAAGAAGTTTTAAGATTGATTGCTTTAAAGAAATATTTGGTGTATTTGCCTACAATAGTAGACACTGGGCTTTGGCTTTGGCTTTGGCTTTAGCTTCAGGAGGTGCCTTCTGGGCTAATAATTGTTCCCTCCTCCCTCTGAATCTTTTCCACCTGCTTGCTTCACAAGGGCATTAAGTAGTTGCATAGGCTTTTAGACTGCTCTATGCGTTTTGATCACACTAATCTTAAACATTTTCTGCCCAGGCAACCTACTTCTGCTGATCACCATGGGAAGACAAAAGACAGTGTCAGTGTTTGAAGGGCCCTTTTAGCCTTGCCAGTCAGTGGTAGGTGTAATAGTACATAAGACTAGAAAGTAGCTTCTTCCAGATGGAAGATATCTTTTTTTTTAAAGCACCAAATCTCAGAATGAAAGGCTGATGAAGGAACAAAGATTCTGAGTCTCCTAACTCTTCCTGTGCAATATATAGGGAATTTGGACCACCATGTGTTTTGTCACTCACATGACCTAGGCTGACGTTCATAAAGATGCTTAGGTTAGATATGCAAGGTTCTATGGGTCTGTGATCTTTTATTAGAGCAACTAAATAGTTGGAAAAAAATATTTGCAAGCTTTTGAACACAAACACCTTTTTTCAGGCATTGGGAGACTCTGCTGTTGTTCTGAGTTTTCCAAGGTAGCAAAGAAGCTAAAAGTGTGACACACAGTCTGTGAAAATGTAAATGAATGAAAGTTTGTAAGACAAACAGATATGATAGGAGAGGAGGGAGGGGTGTGTGTGAAGGAATGCAAATTGTCAGCCTTAGGCAGGTGAATCAGATGTCAGGCAGGTTTAATATGCCATAAATCCAATGTCTATATAAAGTTCATGATTTTTTGTATTTAGTAAATTTATGAAGTGAAGTTCATAGGCTCATCTATGAAAGGTGTTTTGTAAGTTCCCTTTGAGGATTAGAATTGAGAGATCAGAGGAGGAGTGATTTATTTGTGAGAAGTGGGTGCCCATAAGTAATTGGATACTTTTCTTTCATGGATTTTTGGTGTGCCTTCATTCTGGTGCACAGTTGTTGTTTAGCTT